CTCGCCGCCCGGCAGCCGGAGCGCGAGCGAGCGCCGAGCCCCGAGCGCGGACGGCGGCGCCAACTACACCTCGCGGCCCGGGAGGCGGCACTGACGTCAAGCCCGGCACCGGGACCCGAGCCCCCGCTGTCATTTAAAGGGGTAGGCGCCAGTCGCGGTGGGCCAGGCTCCGCCGCTAGGGGGCGGGGCCGGCCGAACCTCGGGACGCGCTGCGGGGGCCGCCGGATGACAGCGCCGGGACCGCGAACGCGCCTCGGGGAAAGGGGCCGCGTCTCTCGCTCTTTCGCTCCGTTCCCTCCTTCTGTCCTGCCGTCTCTCGTTTGATTTCTCTCTGTGTGTGTGTCTCTCTCTCCCCTTTTTCTTTCCCTCATCCATCCTTCCAACTTCTTCCTCTAGTTCAAGAGCACAGAGGGGAGAATAGGTTTTGATTAAAACCGAAGGTCAGGCTCCCAATCTGAAATTGCTACCAACGTTGGCAGTGGAGCAGTGATTGCAAAGAACCTGGGGGACAGGAGCCTTGACACTCTCAGTGGCTTTATGATACTTTTTTTAAATGAAGGGCAAACTGCCTGCTACCTCTACATCAAATTTCATGATTGCCATTTAACTGCGTGTTGTGCTTGTAGTTAAGGATTTAAAGCTCTGATTTCATTTCACAGAACAGTAAGAGACCACATGTAACATGACAGCGTCCCTTCTCTCTGTACAATATCTGATTTGTAGTGAATACTAAGTAATTCTGTATCACTACTTTGTAGTGATTATGGAAGGAGGGACGGAGCCACGGAGGAAATGTACTCTCTTTGTTCTTTATTTCTAATCCTAATGTCTTCATTTCCCTTCAACTTCACAGAGCAAACGAATGGCTCATATTTTAGTGGCTTTCTAGTCAGGTCACAAATGAAAATTACATGATTTCCATTAGTACGTAGCACAGGTACGTATTGCAAAAGCAGCAAGATCTGTGATAAAGAGGACAGAAATGCAAGAAAACTCCCTTTCGCTGTGGGAGTATGGAACTGGCGCTGCCCACCTGGGGCACAGCTATGTGTCCAGAAAAAGAAAGAATTCTTGATTTAAGTCAAATCCAGAGCCAAATGGAGCGTATTATGACAGCACATTAGTTTACTTCAAAATATTATAACAATATTATAGATGACTTTTATCCATAGCAATTAAATTGCCTACTGATTTTAATATTTTAAAAAATCATAAATGTCTAACATGATTACACCTCTTCAAAATCACCACAAAAGTGATAGATTTGAGACATAGTTGTAACTTTAAATCTTGATAAGTAGTGGATATGGTGTCCTTGGAGCACTGCCACTGCATGTAATTCATTGATTCTTAGAAGTCACATCTGCGGAAGGTGTCATGTAAGTTTGCATGTTTGACTAGCGGGAGCTGAGGGCCTAATGGACCAATGAAAGGACACAATATATTTGCCAAAGGACTAAGACTTAAAAGGGGTTTTTAGTTTGCATGTTGAGGCAACCCTTTTACACAAGCCTATTGCCTCACCCCAAACCTATAAACTTCCTGACCAAATTAAGAAGTAGAATTGATTTTAGCCCTCTTCATTTCAAAGCTAAAATGAAACTTTGATATAATAAGAAAACTACATTATTTTACATCTCATCTGAAACATAAAACATTTGAGATTTAAAAATAACATTTCCTGGAAAAAGAATTATTAGGAACTTCATAACACTCACACATGAATAAATAATAATGCCTCAAACCACTATTAATGGAGCCCATTTATCATGAGGTAAATATCCCTAATGATGAGTACGGTGTAAGACCACAGAATTGTAATGAAGTGGATATAAAATAAATATGAATTAGTATATGTGAATATTATGAAGTCTCCAATATTATCAGACCAAACCCATTTTTATTTTTTAATTACATGAACTCCTAAATAGTCTAAAATTTATACTCTAAGTGAATCATCTTAGAAATTCATAATGAAATCCACTGTTTGATAAATTTCTTTTGAAAACTATTCTTTCAATATCGATTGAACATTTCTCCTTAATCTCTTCCTTTCACGTAATCCTTTTACTGTCACACCCTCTCCTATCCACACCTTCCAAGTGAACTCCCAACTGAACAAATTGCAGCTCCAAACTGTCTTTACCTGGCCATTGCTCTGCTAGGAATCTCTTTTATCTTCTACGACTCCTTCATCCCTTCTGCCTCCTTCCTTGCCTCCTCTGCCCAGATCTCAGGTTAAATATCAGTTCCTCTGGAAAACTTTTCATTGTTTTCACCACTGCGCTAAGTTCCCTCTGAAGGTTTTTTTCATGCACAGGACCCTGTGTTTCAACATGGGCGAAGTTTAGCATACTGATTAGTCTTCCACCAGATTTTAAGTATGGCATGCAGCCACAGGCACTATTCTAGCCTCAGAGAGGTGCTTTGTATATGAGCAGTAGCCACATTCTATTTGTCCAATGCTCACCGCCTAGAAATGTGTTCATGTTGTGAATAGACGGCCAGGTACTACCTGCATGCAAACCATTGAAATTAGAAGCAAGCAAGATTTGGTCCTTCACAATTAAAATCAAGACAAGTGAGAACACAATCTCTTCAAAGTAAACTCAGACCTACAGAGAATGGGAAAAAAACAGAGATAGACAAGACCGGAGGGATCTATTTGGTGTGCGGAGCAATCAGCGCCAAACCCTGCAATCAGAATCATTTTATTGTAAACTGCAGATGCCATTAATGTTCCCTGGACCACCGTGATCTTAACTATGGGCTCTTGAAGCTCTCCTATTGCTGTGCAAAGGCAAATATCAAATTTCTCTGAAAAAAAATCACTCAAGCCCTTCTCAACACATCTAAACATGCACAATTCAAACTGTGTCTCCAAAAGCACAGCGAATAAACAATAAAAGATACATGTATGGAGCCCAGATTACAGCACGTAAAGATCTGTAACTTAAAATAGCAGATTGAGTTTTTCTTCACTAGGCAAAGAATTATTTAGTGCCAGGAATCATACCTTTCTTGATAGGGAAGAAAGAACACAAAATGTAGCAATGAGATTTAGAATCAGGTAGGACAGGGGTAAAAACCTAACTTTGTCTCTTACAAGCTTTAGAATTTCAGCAAGTTATATACATTTTTCAACCTCAGTTCCCCTCTGATTCAGCCAAAATAAAGTCCACAGACTTGACTGAATGATGCTTCTGGTAAGAGGACCATCCAAAGCTGGTAGCGTTTACCATATTTCTCACATCTGTTTCAAGCCATTGTTCAAAGGGAGCAGAACCACATCATAACTAGATGGATCCAAGATCTTGAAGTTGTAAGCTGATGATAGTAGCCCACCTACTTTCCATCCCCTTGTCTCACCCCTAAAGTCTGGTGCAACCCAGCCCTACCGTTAAGAACTTGTCTGTATCTCCGCGTCCTTCTCACTTTAAATCCTTTATTGTCTTTCTCACTTCAGGGCACAACTTTATCCTAGACACTGATACATTTTAACTGAATGAATTTACATTGTTCTTGTTCTGTTCTGAAATTTTTATTCAGTCTTTTTCTTTGTTTTTCTTTTCTTTCTGCACTACCAGGATTGAACCCAGAGCCTTTACATCAAGCTACACTTCCTGTCCTTTTATACTGTTTTTTGAGGCAAGGTGAACTTTTCATGCTTTAGCCTCCCCAACAACTGGGATGACAGGTGTGTGCCCTTACACGCAGCTTTGCTCAGTCTTTTGATTGTGGCTGAATTACTCCTTTTAGTTGGCCTGTGCCCAACTGGGCTTCTAATTTTCAGGTAACTATCTAGTATCTTTTCATCTTGTTCAGAAATTTGAACATTTTACCAAACAAAATTTCTCATTCAATTGTAAGCAAAAAAATAAAACTTCAAAACTGAAATTGTTTCCAGTTTCAGAAACAGCAATTTTAGGAGCAGTGCTATCTAACAAAAATATATAAACCACACTTCTAATTTTAAATTTCTAATTGCCATATTTTACAAACATGAAAAAGGTGAAATTATTTTAAACTGGGTGGTTTAGCCTAAAATATAAAAAATGTTATAATTTTAATATGTAAATCATTGCAAAACATATGACTAGCATAATTTAAAATTTCCATATTATATCTTGAAAAATATAGTACATAATTTACACATAACAGATCTCAATTCACTGTATTCATATTTCATGTGCTTGATGACCACACATAGCTAGTAGATACTGTTTTGTACATCATAGCTTTATGATATCTGTGGATTAAAAGCATCTATGGGCAGTGGTGGCACACCCCTGCAGTCCCAGTACTTGGGAAGCTGAGGCAGGAGGATCAGCATGAGTTTGAACCCAGCCTGCGCTATATAAGCAAGTTCAAGGCCAGCCTACACTACATAGAGAGACCCTGCTTCAAAAAAAAAAAAAAAGAAAAAGAAAAAAAACTGAAAAAGAAAAGCAACTATGTGTCTTGAGGATTGGATAAGAAAACATGACTTAAAATTTTATCACAGGACTCTAATGAGTGAACCATGGAATTCAGTGTTTCAGTAGAGTCATTTAACACATGGAATAGAGACTAAGAGTATTTCCTGAGGGGGAAATAAAAAAGAGGAAGAGTTGTTAAAGAAAAAACATGTAATAACAAGGATTTATGTTTCCCTTATCAACCCTTATATTGGTGACATTTGAACAAGTTTTGCAACACATATCACTCTTGGAGAA